ACATACCTGGATTCGTCTAACAGATACTCGCACTTCAAAGAAAAATTGCAGGGAAAATGGGAGGAAAAGGGTTACAGGAAGGCGACAGGCGTTGTAAAGTGCAGTCTGAAAGGGCAATCATCTTCAAAGCAAGAAATGAGAACGGCAATGAATAGTGAGAACTTACAGCAACGAAAATCCTTTCAGCGCTGAGATCATTACCAGTCAGGACGAAGCAGAGAACTGCGAAAAGAACAATGAGTTTCCCAGAAGACCAGAACAAACCCATAACGAGCGACTGAAAGACGGCATTCGCTCTTACTTTGCTCATTTCACGTCTGAAATGTCAATAATAGAGCTATTATGGGTGATTAAAAAAGGGAAATAAAGGAGACCTGCGCAGATCCGCAACAACCTCAGAAAAGGCTCCTTCCCAAGCATACATTTTGATCACTCGTATACCATTGAGTATTTCGTTCATGATACTTATTCTTTTATCAGTTCGGATGGCAATTTCCCTTCTAAAACATCAGAAAAGTTGTTCTTAGAAGCAATTATTTTATTTCATTTGTAGCAAAGAAGCTTCAACTCTATTGTATAAATCTAAAAAGATTTTACTGGCAGATGCATTCAAGTTAAGGACGAACTTGTGATGCGCTGCCGTTTATAGCCCTGTAATTCTCAAAAAAAGGAGAACAGAAGCATTCAAGATATGTAACGTCTGGTTTAGGTTAGAGAAATACGTCACACTACTAGGAATAAATCGAGCACCTGCAACGTCCCATTTGTCTGCTGAAGTATCCTTGAATTGGAATAAGCACTATCAGCGCACCGAACCCTGTAACACAGGCATATAAGAAAAGCAGAAAAAAATCATCAAAAATCAAATACCGATAAGTTCACGGACCTGCAAAAGAAGAAGGTCCTATTTCCTGCCAAAGGTAGTAACTGTACGCGATTAACATTAACGGTGAAACCCACATGTAGTGAAGGAAGATAAAACCCTATGGGAAAGAGAAAGATCTATAGAACCGTGGAAAAATCTATTCAAACCCACCATATCAAATTTGTTGATGTCAGTGGACAATAGATTTACCATGTGCCCAACGGTAGTTTTATGCAAGGCAGCGCTTGATAGACGTACACCCTGAGTGAAAGTGAAAATCTTCTAAAGATACCTATGGTATAAGTAGGGTTACAAAAGTCTACAGAGTCAAAAAAGATACGAAACTAGAGAGTTGAAAAAGGATACATACATGAGTTGTTAGAAAAAAAAACGTTGGGCGTACTATCCCTCATCAATATCATTTGCTGACGGATTATTAATGGCAAGAAATGAGAAGAAGTAAGATAAGAAGCAGTCTAAACTTACTTATGCACTTAAATTTGAAACTACTCACTTTATTGACGAGCATTCCACTAGCCGCAATTTTTAATTGAAGGCCGACTTTCTGTAGACCATAGAAATAGGGGTGATGTATTAATGCGAAAAATGCAGCCGTCATAGCGACACCTCCAGCAGCTGAAGCAAGATATATGAATAGTTGTTGGTAGTTTGAGAAAGACTACGTACCCAAATACGCCTCCATTTCAGTTAGAGGAGCATCGAAACGAAAATAGCGGATTAGGCGACCCATAAAGAGAGGTTGACACAGTTTTATGGACTCCTAAACAGACAATAAGTTGTACAAAAATAGACAACTTCGAAGTAAGAACAAGCAGCTTTTTAACTGCACGACAAGTAGAAATGAGGTTATGCATTACGATGGCGACAGCTGCAAGAGATTCTCTCAAGAAAACGCCAAAGCTGCTCAAAGGTAGTATAGCTAGGTATGTCCTATACAGTTATGCTTATGTTTCGTTAATCTCTGCAAAATTTCCAAATATTTGCATTCCGTGTTCGGCGGAAGTGTGGAAAAATGTGTAACCTGATACGTCAACAACAGCACAGTTTCATTCACTTTATCCAACGCTCAACTTACAGCATAGTGGTAAGTTGACCGTTTTTGGACGAAAAACAAAAATTTGGTTTAGACCAAAACCATATCCATTCCGCATGTCACAGTTCTTACTGTGAAGTTACGCTGAATATAAAAGATTTGTGTAGAAAGACGTGCAGGATATTACACAATGTTCTGCGCATTGAAGTTCTGCACATTCTGCAGATAGACCTCATTACAAAAAATAGAACTCTAGAAAATTATAGAATGTAAGTTTCGACCTTCAAACACCCTATTCTAAAGGTATATTAATAACCAAAGCATCACTGATACTAGCTCGCTTGTCACTGGAAAGTTCATATCAGTCTGATTCAGATCGTATCATCATGACACAATGAAGCTG